CCCCACGTGGATGATCTCCCTTATAGCCAACATATTCCTCTCTGAAAGTTCCTCCTCTTTCTTAGCTATTCACATCTTGACTCTGACTCTGCTTGGGGACATCAAGTTTCCTGAACCTCTCTCAAGCAACAATAATTTTCTCTTCCACATTTCACCTACTTCAGTTCACAGTCTTTCTCTCTGTTCCATCTGCTAGCATTATTAGTTCTTTCAACAGATATCTGACTTTTTTGACATGTGGGGGAAGGGCATAATGCTCAGTATCAAATCTCCAAATGAGGAGCTAAGATTCAAGTGGAGAACCAGGCAAATAGATCATATATAAGTAGGGAAATATATAAATATAAATTATAAATATATAATTTTATTTTATTTTTTCAAAATATACTTTTAAAATTGACACATATAATTATAAATACTTGCAGACATGTATACAATGTGCAATGATCAGATCAGGGTCATTGGCATATCTATCAACTCAGATATATTATTTCTTTGTGTTAGGAACATTAAAAGTCCTCTTTTTTAGTTACTTTGAAGTATTCAATTTAAATTTTTAAATTGTATCAAGGGAACTGGAAGATAAAGCAGGAAGTCATAATGAGAATTTTGTGTGGGAGTGGAATACTTAATGTAGCTACAGTGATCAGGGGTATTTTAGGGGGAGGCATGAAGGACAAGGAGCAAAAGGTGGGGTGGTGAACAGTTGGAACAGAGAAACATTATCTCTCCAGAGACTTTTATTTCATGCCTACTCAGCAACCTTACCTTGTCACCAGCAGCACCTGAACACTTTGCAAATTACTAATCAAAACTCCCAATTACAACTTGCTTTCCTTTTCCATAGCTTCTATATTACCTAGAATTCCAATCCAAAGACCTGTATTCTCCTTCAAGGCTCCCTTCTCACCAACTTCATTCATCTCACTATTCACTTTACAGCCCATCTCTTACACATACCTTCAGTCCCTCGATTCTCTCTTCTTCAAATTCCCCTGGCAAAATCCTAATCACTCTACTTTTTCTGAGACAGACTGTTCCAATAAGAATTTGCTGAACACTTCTCATTTGACAGATTGGAAACACTGTAAACTCACAATCACTCATTTCGCAAAGATCTTCTACAAGGCAAAGTGTGTGCAATTCTCTATAAATTTCCTGCCCCACTCTCTAATAACTAATACCTTTTCTATTTCTTCAGCATTTCTACCCCACTCTAGACTTTGACTTTCAAAGATCCTGTGAAATGTCTTTCCCTCCTATCTGATTATTTTTTTAGATTCTCTTGCTATCTCCTTTTCTGATCTGAAGGTTGTATCTATTTAGGACTTAGACATGGGCCATTTGCTGTTAATGTTCTATTTTTTTCTTGAGTGATCTCATCCCTTCCCATGACTTTAAATACCATCTATATGCTTGTTTTAGTCAGTTTTTTTTTTTACCACTATGATCAAAAGACCTGAAAGAACAATTTTAGAGGAGAACCTCAATTTTAGAGGTTCATACACTGCATGCTTCATTGCTCTAAGGCCTAAGGTGAAGCAGAACATCATGACAGAAGTGCCTGGTGGGGGGAAGTAGTTCAGGATGTGACAATCTGGAAGCAGAGAGAGTTTCACTCACCAGGGACAAAATATATACCCCACAGGTATACCCTCAGTAACCTCCCTCTTCTAGTCACACCCTACCAGCCTACAGTTACCACCCAGGTAATCCCTATGAGGGGATTAATGCACTGATTAGTTTAATACTCTTGTAACACAATCATTTCACCTCTAATCTTTCTTGAATTGTCTCACATGAGTTTTTGAGGGACACCTCATATCTAAACTACAACAATGCTTAGAACCCCCAAATTTCTCTCTTGCCCCAAGACAACTATTCTAGTTTGAGGGCCACCAAGCTAGTATGAATCACTGTTATCTCTTGTTGGTATTACTATAAAGTTCCTAGAAGATTTCTCTACTAATAGTTCAGTCTCTACATAGTAGCCAGGGTGCCCTTTCTGAGGTCTAAATGAGATCCTGTCATTCCCTTACTTAAAACACTTCAACAATTCCCACAACCCTCAGAATAAAATTCTCAAATATGTCCCAGTGTCCTATAGCTGCCATAACAAATTTAGAGGTTTAAATCAACAGAAATTTATTTTCTCTGGAAGTCCCAAGTGAAGGTGTTAGCAGAGAGGCACTCCCTCCAACAGCCCTAGAGTAGATTCCCCTCCCTCTTCCAGCTTCTGGTGCATCCAGGCAATGGTGGCTCTGTGGCTGCATCACTATCTCCTGGCTGGCTTCACTTGGCCTCCCTTATCTCCTCTGTGGTTCTCTTTTAAGAGCACTTGTCCATTGAATTTAGGGTCTACCACATAATTCAGGATAATCTCATCAAGATCCTTAATTACAAGTACCAAATAAATATTTTTCCCAAATAAACTCACATCACAGGTCCCAGAGATTGGGATATGCATACATCATTTGGAGGGCCACCATTTAACCCAGTGCAGCCTCCGTGGCCCTGCCCAAGCTGCCTCTGCAATTCATTTCTCTTTTCCTTCATCAGGCTCTGCATCTTTCTGGCATCCTTTTTCTTCCTTGATCTAGGATAAGCTCTTTTCTACCCTTGGTCTTTGCTTATGCTACTCTTCCTTCAGTCTTCAAGCCTTCAGTTAAACCTAACTTCTGCAGAGAATTAGTCCTTGACCTAAATCATTTAAGTATGTCTTCACTGTATTAACTCCTCAATACATCCTTTTTCTCTTTACTTCACAACATTTGATTGTTTGATTTTTTTTGTTCCATCAAATTGCACTTAATACATGGATTTACAGATTTGTTTGCTAATATTTGCCTGCATGACTGGACCATGAACTCTACATATCATTTTAGGAAGCACATCTGTTTTGTTCACCTCTGTATGTATACCCAGAGTAGAGAATAGTGTCTGGTACCCAGTAGCAGTAACTTAGTAAAGGAGAACTAAATAGAGAAGAAAAAAAACCTTCACCTCTTTTGAAAAGGATAAGATAAATGTGAATAAATGAGCAAGAATAGTGACCAGACAGCTGAGGAGGACATCACCAGCTTGCAGTGCTTAATCTCTCGGTGAGGGCTTGGTACCAAGGGAAAAAAGTGCACCCAATTATTAGCAAATCAGAAAGACTTCTCTATTCTTTCATTATGTCATGAACAACTACACAATTCAGGAACTCACTTCACCTTTTATAATATTCTCTCTCCTGTCCAAACATTTTGACTGAAGTTTCTGAGAAATTTTAGGAAAAACTCCAATAAATTGATTCCATGCTCCACTTAAAACTAAGCTGAAGAGTACACACACATATCAAACTTTCTTAATTCTGAAAACTACAAACTGATTCAAGTATTATTAATAATAAAGCCCACTGGCTGTTCTAAACATGCTAGTCACGCATGGTGGCACATGCCTATAATCCCAGTGACTTGGGAGACTGAGGCAGAAAGATCACAAGTTCAAAGCCAGCCTCATAAACCTAGCGAGACCCTCAGCAACTTAGTGAGAACCTATCTCAAAATAAAAAATAAAAAGGACTTGGGATGTGGTTCGGTGTTAAGTGCCCCCTGGGTTCAATCCCTGGTAGCAAAATGTAAATCAAAAAAAGAAAAACAATAAATAAAGTAAAACATGAAGAGAAAAATTTCTTTTGGGACACAAGAAACTTCTCAGCATCTTTTTTATTTTCCTGAAGAATTTTTAAAAATTGAAATATAATTTGCACACCATCAAATTTACCCTTGTAAACTATATAATTCAGCGAGGTGCAGTGGCACATGCCTATAATTCCAGTGGCTTGGGAGGCTCAGGCAGGAGAATTGTATGTTCAAAGCCAGCCTTGGCAACTTAGCAAGGCCCTAAGTAACTCAGCAAGACCCTGTCTCTAAATAAAATTAAAAAGGACTGGGGAGGTAGCTCAGTGATTAAGTACCTCTGAGTTCAATCCCCAGTATAAATAAATAAATAAATAAATAAATAAATAAATAAATAAATAAGTATTTTTACAAAAATAAACAAAGTATTTTTGGTTCAGTGTTTTGCACAAAGCTGTGCACCTACTATCACTAATTTCAGAACAGTGTCATTGACTCCCATTAAAACAACAACAACAACAAAAAAAACATTCCCACTAGCAATTGTTCTTTATTTCTCCCTCCCCTAAGCCATGAACACCACAAATAGATTATCTCTTTTGATTTTCCAGTCTTTTTTCATGGAACTGAAACACAGAGAGAGGTAATTTGCATAGGGTTGCAAGAGTCACTTAGTAAGAAAGCAGAGTTACCACACCTACTTACAATACTTCTAAGTGTATAAAAACAAAGTGAAAATGTTTATTGTACCTATACATATCTAGAATATGAAGACATCTGATAAAAGCAGAGTTCTTACAACAGCCATTCTTAGTTATTGTCTCGCTAGGGACAGGCAAAGGTGTTAGCCAGGAATCACTAAAAAGAAAGAGAGATCCTACTGGGCGAAGGGAATTGTACTTATGAACAGAGAAAGTGTGAGGTTATGTGATTTAGGCAGACATTTGTCTTTTCAAACCAGGGTTTTGAAATTAGTACTCCTATAAATGCATGTAAGAAAAACAAACTAATTAAAACTCATTCTAAAGTTAAAAAAAAAAAAAGAGAGAGAGAGATGAAGAAATTAGTGGTCCTATGCCCAGGGGCCCATTTACCATTTGTTTCCTTATACAGTTGCCCCACAGGGTCTTAAAGATCTTTAGATTGTTTCTAGTTTGTTCATGAAGAGTTAATGCAATAAGAGTACTAAAACCACTTCAAAATACTTACTGGTTAATGACATCTTGGGAAAAAAAAAAAAAAAAGGAACCTTGAATTTTAATATTCTGTCTGCATTTTCAGATAAGTAAAAAAACTAACAGCTTAACTTACCTCTCTTGTCATCATAAATGTGTACACAGGAGCAGTAATACCATAAACTAAAGTCATCAGAATCCATTTGCAAAAATAATTAGGCACACGTTTTATTTTATGTCTTAATCAACATTACAAATACCATTTAACAAAGGAAAAAAGGATGAAAACTTCTCATCACACAGAAAAAAAATTCATCGTTCAAAAGAGATTAATCTGAACTTCAACATTATCTGTGCTCATTCAAAAAATATTATTCAAACAGCCATTCAAATAGAAAAGTCAAAACTATTTTATTAATTATAATTGAGTCCCCCAAACAACTAAGATTTTATACTTAGAAATAAATCTCTTGTCTTTAATCTAGAAAATTCTGATTTACTAACAAAAATGTATATGCAAAAGCCTACTACTGGGTGAGTAAACAAATTTTCTTTTACAAACAAGTTATTTTGAGTTACAGAGATCCTTCCAAGGACTACATTATCATTTTCTTAAAAATAAAAATGACTGCTGAAAAAGCTTATTTAGCCAATCTATTCCTAGAATTGGTCACTAATAGAGTGAACATTTAAAGTGGAAATTCCTTGCCCACTAAGTAGTTTCATAATACTATTACTATGTATGTAAATTAACTTAAAAGTCAACTCTTAAATTCTCTATAGTGAGAATGCTTTGGTACCAATAAATTAGAATTAGGGAATCAAAATGTATTTTATATGTAGTATTAGAGTGTATTTTGGGAATTAAATTGAAACATGCCAACATATAAAAAATCAAAGTCTTACTTCTCTGTTACATATAATATTTTGAGGAATGAACAGGCTAACTATTTTGAATTATTGGTATAAATAAAGGATCAGCCCAAATTTTCCTACCAAAAGATCACTGGTTACACTCAACAATTTAGGGTAAAAGGTAAACAAAGAATTAAGTAAAATACTCTTTCTCCCTTTTGATATGAGCATCAGTATACTGAAATAAAATAATTTCAATAAGTACTTCCAGAATATAACCATTTTAGTTCTCCCATATTATAGGATGCTAAAAAGAACCACACAAAATAAAAAGAGAAAAAAATTTTAAATAAGTTTAAAAAAAAGAAAATTATTTTTAAAAAGAGACCGGGCAAGGGGAGAGGGTAGGTTTAGGGAGAAACTCGAAAAATTCAGAGATTATAAATTCTTCTTAAATTAAACCCAAGGTGTGGAACACATTGCACATGGGATCTAGACAATTTTTTGATTAAGTTTAAGATTGTTGGATAATGCACAGAAACTATCAACACATTTTCACTTTAACAGGCAAAAGAGAAACAAAATAGTCACAATTACACAACAATTATAATTTTTTATATGCTCATCCTAAATAATTTTCTTAAATTCAGATTTTGCAAAGTTCCTACTTGACAAGTCATCAAACACTAAAAACAACATCATCTATGAATATTGTGGATTAATTCTCTATGGAACATCATGCATTTTTTTTTTTTTAATAATTCTAGACCAAAGTGAAGTACATTTAGATTTAATTCTAAATTCTGTCTGTGATGTCTAGATATAACACTGGTACAAAATCAGTGAAAAATACTTTTACAAATGTATGTTTAATTCTGAAGTAATTTAGTTTGGAAAATGTTTGTTATTAGATAAAAGATTACATTTAGACCTTAAAAGATTTAAAAACAAAATTGGCTCAACAACTGTCAAAATGAAATGACTACAAACTCAAACTATAACAACTTTACATCCACAAAAATATACTATTTTCAGGGGAGTTCAGTTCACTTTAAAAATTTTTTCTTTTGTCCAGGCTCACTCCTGGACTGAACATTGCTCAACTGTTCAACATTACCTATGTTAAGCAAAGACATAAAAAGTATTGTAGAAATTGCACAGTGACTGAGTCTGAGAAAGGGAGAATATACAATCAACATCTCAGAGCTGGAAGGGATCATCAAGCTCCAGTTCAGTACTCACAGATGAGGAAACTGAAGCCCAAGCGTGTTAAATGACTTGATCACAGTTACATGCGTTGGCTGTGCCATTCATTCATTCGGTCACTCATTTACTCACTTACTAAAAGATACCTAAGTGCCAGGCTGCTGGGTACTGAAAATGAGAGAGAAGGCAATATTCATAATTGCCAAGACAGTCTTTTTAACCTGTGATCTTAAGACAAATTCTTAAACTTTCAGATCAGCAAGAAATCGTAGAGGCTTTTGCAGAACCTGGCTTGCTTTCAGTTTCACACATTTCAGTAAACACACTCGGGTTTAATTTCAGAGAGGCCTCAACTGTGTTTGCTTTACATGATTAAGCATTAACAAAGGGGAACACAGTATTCTGAATGAGTCCCTTTCTAGTACATTCATAACTTAAGGAAGTGCAATCAGAAAACACCCTAGACTCACAAATAAATTCACAGAAAGGACAGCTTACAAAACTAATGATTCGAGGTATAGGTCAGTTAAGTCCAACAGCTCAAGTTTACAAATAGTGGAATGTAAATATCTCCCCTTTCATTCAGATGTGGGTACAGTTTTCTGAGATGCTGTATGCTAAAAAGACTTCCAAATTCACATTCTGATGCCCTCTTCCAATGACAATATATCTAAACTAGACCTTTTTCTTCTTATGATCAACTTTCTTTGATTTCTACTTGACTAAAGGAAAATTAGTTTAAACAATAAACAAAACCTAAAATTTAACGTGCTGGCTGAAAGAAATTAAAATTCTATGCAATCAAAATAGCAATAGCTCAAACTGCACATTTATGAGTTTTTAGGGGAAAAAAAATGCAATGTGCAGTGAACTTACCCATCAACATAAATAATACCCAATTTTGCTTGGACTTTTACATTCTGTAATGTTAAGTCTGGCACTTAAGTGTTGTGTATATCTCAATTCACAGTCAAGTTAAGGAGAAGAGACCATATAGACAAATCCCTTAAGTAAAACAACTCATAAGTAAGGCACTTTGAAATATTAAACAGCAGCACTCTGTGTACTCAGTTTCAGTGTAATACCCCAAAATGAGCCACAGAATTTCTAGTGCTCTCACAGATGTCTGTTGGGTGACTTCTGATAAAATACAATCTTCACTGAGGCTACTGTCAGCTTAAGATAAAAGTGCTGTTGTGCTCTTCTATTTTTCAAAACGCCAAAGCTGATTATTATCTAGGGCATCACAAGTCCTCATTTGTACCTTAGGTAGGCCCTCAGGTGTCCGATAAGCACTAAGACATAGTCCTGAGTGTGGATGAAAAATGGTTCCATCGTCTTTAAAATGCCAAATAATGTTTACTGGAACAGGGAACCCATCTTTAGGACAATTTTGCATTCCTACGTAGTTTTTTTGCTCAGGAACCTCTGCACATAACTCAGTCACAGAATTAAACCGTATTTCTTTGTTTGAAGTATATTCAAAGAATTGATTGCCTCCTTGACCATGGCATCCAAACAATGAAAGGTTAGCACCTGTTGGATTGTTGTCAGGAGAATTATAATCTAAACATTCCGAGGAGATGCCTATACTGCGAATAGCCCCATGCCACCCTGCTCTATCCTCTGGTATGTGTAAATTAGAAAACACATTTTTCAAATACCAGTCAAAGCTCTTGCATCTAAGTCGTTCTCGTAGTAATTTTCTTTCAGAAATATCTCCATAAGCTTCTTTCCGTGCTGGAGGGTTTCGATTGTAGAAATGTTCTTTGTATTCATCCATCCACACTTCCGCTGCCCGGGCAGTATTCTGTAGGAAATTGGGGCGAGCATATGGTGCCCGCTTAGGGAACACATGGCCCACGTGAGAACACGGGTGGATCTCCAATTTACCACCACACTGCCACACCCTAAATGACAGCTCGAGGTTTTCACCTCCCCACACTTCCATTCCAGTGTCATATGTTCCTAGGTACTGAAAATATTTCTTGCTGACAGCAAATAGTCCTCCGGCCATGGTGGGTGATCTGATGGGATCAATTCTTGATTGCCGCCTGTCCCTTTCATGCTTGGGGACAGAATGCCACTGAAAAGTTAAACGCCAGTCAAACCCACCAATCATGGGCTCCCCCGTCTGCATATAGAATTCAAAAGTATTCCAATCAATAGTGTCTATAACAGGACAAACAATTGCTGTTTCATCTGTATCAATCCTTTCCAAAAGTGGTTCCAGCCAACCAGAATTACACTCGCAGTGACAATCCAAGAAAGTGAGGACCTGCCCAGTGGCAAAAGTGGCCCCAATTAGGCGTGCCCTAACCAGTCCCTCTCGCTTATTGGTTCTAATCAAGCGAACTCTATCAAGCTTGCTGATGTAAGTTTCAAGTTGTGCCTTCAAATACACTCTGTCACTCAAGTCATCAACCAAGATGATCTCCTTCAAAAGGACTGCAGGGGAAGTTTCTAAAACACTGTGAATGGTGCGAAGCAAAGTCGACCAGGCTTCATTATAGAAAGCGATGATAACAGAGGTGGTGGGAAGCTTCCTATAGTTGAACTTCTTGGATTTACACTCATACATTCTTTTATCCTCTATGTGGCGATGCAGAGAGATCCTGTCACTGAGATAAATATTGATAGCATATCTCTCAATGAGTTCTTCTTGCTTCTTCAGTTCATCCTCATTGAGCTGGAGTTTGCTGGCTCTTCCCCACTCCCCAAGGGCATGGGAATCTGCAGGAGGCTTTTCATAAAGAGGTCGAGACAAATCCTCAGTCTTTTCCGCAAAGTTTGAGTGCCTTCTAGACCCCCGTTGCCTGGCAAGGCCGGCTCCTGAGGAAGCGTGGAAGGTAGTGACCGAGAGCTCCACCAGGATATAAGCCACTGTTAAGAGCGCCAGCAGCAGGCAGCTCTTGCCTGCCCACGTCCACCTCACAGCCATCCGGATCCTCCAGGCTAGGACGTAGACCCGGCCACCAAGCCACCACGCAGAAGCGCTGCGAAACCCGCAACTTGAATGCCCGGCTCAGGTAGGGGTGAGTTTCCCAGCAGGTCCTTCTTTTCATGCAGGCGCTCGGCTTCTTTCCAGCCACCGAGAGTTTCCCAGAGGCCACCTGAGACCCTTGGGTCCTTAGCCTCCGGCACAGCGCAACTCTTCTTTCCCACTTCCTCCTGCTGCTCTCAGAACTTTTCACAAACTCTCCAGCCAACACCCCACCCTCTCCGGGCCGAGGACAAACCCCTCCCCTTCCCACTCACTCCTCCTGGTGGTTACTTTGCGAAAGTCGTCTGCTAGGCCCAGCCAGCAGGCGGCTCTTGGCCCGACCCGGGTGGGGTGACCAAAGAGTCCCCTGCTGCCCCAGGCTCCCCAATCTCCGGCCCTTCTTATCCCCCATACAGGTTCTCAGTGGTTCTCCTGGGGGCCAGTCTGGACAAAGGGAAAAGTTCATGGCCAACTGAACTGTTGTTTCATCACGAAAAGAAAAAAAAGAAAAAAGAAAAGAAAACTTACCAAGTTGTTTGCCGTTGGGGCTGAAGTTCACAGAGGTGATTGCAGCTTTGTGGCCTTTAAAATAACGCTCCAGAACGGGGTCCTCCTAGGAAGGAAAGTTGTCAAGTTCAGAAAGCACGTGCCAATCGGAAACTCTGGGGGTCGGGGAACCTAGGCTGCCCCTCCCGGGGGGGTCGGATCGGGAACCGCCGCGTAGAGGGCGGACCGCAGAATAGGAGCGCTCGGCAGCAACCTTCGCTCGGGCCGCGGCACCCAGCACCCCGACCAGGAGACGCTGGGCGCCGGCTGCCCCGGCAAAGCTGGCAAAATCCTCCATCCGCGCTTCCCAGACTGGAGAGCATCCGAGGGAGGACCACCTGAAGGCTCATTCGAAACGCGCGTTCCCAGGCCCCGCCCTCGGGCGCGGAATCCGCAGGTGCGTGCCGGCGCCCCGGCTCCAGTGCTCTCCGACACCTCCCAGGTGATTCTGACGCAGGCGCTCCACGGAGACCCTCCGAGAATTCTAGGGGGCCATGGGCCGGCAGGTCTCTGCCCAGAGCTTCGGGGACGCGGGGAGGAGCGTCCGGCAGCCCGCCCTGGAGCTCGGCATTCCCGCTGCCCAGCCGCAGCGAGACGCCGACGCCCCAGGGCGAGGGGCCAGCGGCAGAGCCGGCTGCTGACACCTGCCTCCATCTCCCGCCAGGTGTGGGCACGTTCCCGACCTGGCCCCCGCAGCCCGCGGGGACGACTCGGGGGAAGTGCCGGCCAGCCGGTCCTTACCGGAGCGGAGGCCATGGGTGTAGCAGTTAGCTCCGGATTCCTGCCGGAGTGGGGAATCGGGGGAGGGGAAGGGGTAGGAGAGGAGGGGGGGGGACCGTGCGGCGTCCGGAACCGTCTGCCTTGAGCGGCAGCGCCTCCCGGTCACTACAACAACGGCGGCCCAATCAAACCCCGCGCTCCAGGCGTGGCCAGACGAGCCCCGAGACTCTGTCCGCGCCGAGGACTGCGGGGGGGGGCCCTGTCGCCGGGCGGGCTGCTCCGGGACCGAGTGCTGCCACACACTAAAACCAACGTTTATTAGCCAACCACGTTTATTAACGCTAGCGTTCTCCCGGGTTTGATGCTAGGAAGGGGATAGTAACCAGGTCCGGAATGAGAGCGACTGAAAAAGGAAAGGGGCTGTGAGCCTTCTATCGATGCAATCAGTGTTCTATTACACGTTAAAGAGACCGCGCGCGCGCCCACGGGTTTCCAACTCTTCCCCCACAGCTTGTTATGACAGGAGAGGGAGCTTTGATATGAAGAGGAGCAGCTTGCTAGGTATTAGTATAGTCCAAGTATCTAAATCCCTGGAGGACAGATTTGAATTTGTTTAATCACATTTCTCCACCTGCAGTGCCCTACGAGAGATACCGAAACTGGACACCTGTGATGTTCATCCATTTAAATGTTTTCCTGCTGTTTGTGTCTATTCTCATCTGCTCGTTTGTGTATGTTTAGAATAATAAAATTACACATATTTAAAGTCTTTAAAGACTTAGTAGCGTGTTTTTGGTTTCAGTTACTAGACCACATAGTAACTATAACAATTTCTACAGTAAGCTTTCTGACACATAGTATCATTTGTACTTCAGCAACATTATGAAGTCGGCACAGTTACAAAATGTTACCAATGTTAGCAAATTTGAAACTTTATTCTTAGATATTGATCTTATAGGCCATACGGAGATAGCTCTTAGTACATACCTTTTTTTTTTTAACCCTGCCTCAAAGGATGAAGGGTACAGCTGAAAATTATAGAACAAAGATTCTTGGCAATAAAATGGCATGATAGACCATGATAAGATACATATTCTGTGTAAGCAAAAGGCATGCTACATGCTTTAATTACAGTTCTCTTAACTGGTTGCGTAGTTACTGAGTTTAGCGATTAAACAGGTAGAAAATGGCTTTAGATTGCAATGCAGTACTAGTTTAATTCAAGAATGTTTGTTAAACATTTGCTGTTATGTTCAACCTTGAGGGATACAAGTATGACTGAAATATTTTCCCTGACCTAAAAAACTCAACAGTCCAGGTTGATGAGTCTCACTCATATTTTAGTATGTGTAATGCTGATATAGGGGCTCTATTGTCAGAGATGTTGATTGAACATATATGGAGTGAAATCTAGGGCTCTGCACATGTAACACACTCCCTAGATGATTGCTGTGTTAGTGTCAGCTATAATGGTAAGAAACATTAATCTTAGAGATGATGTGGCATGTGCCAAGAGCATTGATACAGAGAACACTTGCGTAGCATATACAAGGCCCTCGGTTTGATCACCAGCACCAAAAAAAAAAAAAAAAAGAAGAAGAAGAAGAAAAAAGGAAAAAGAAAGAAAAGAAAAAGAAAGAAAGAAAGAAAGCAAAGAAAAGTGACTTGATATCAGCAACCTGTCAGTTGGCAGGACTCTAAGCATTGCTGCTTATTCCAGTCTAGTTTAAAAAAAAAAAATACCTGATATGCTTAAAAAGGTTAGACGCTGTCAGGAATGTAAAATAGCACAGAACTGTGGAAAACTGAATTTGAAAGTTCCTCAAAAAGTTAATCATATTATGCACAACTGTAATCCCAGCTAGTGGGAGACTGAAGCAGAAAGATCACAAGTTTGACCAGCTTCAGCGACTTAGTGAGACCCTGTCTCAAAATTTTAAAAATGTAAAAAGAACTGGGGATATAGTTCAGTATTAAAGAACCCTTGGGTTTAACCCCCAATTAAAAAGTCAGTGAAAGAATTATTTATGATCCAGCAATTTCACTGGTAGGTATATCCCATAAGTATTCAAAGCAGGGGATCCAACAAATAGTTTGTAAACTAATGTCTGTGGCAGCCTTTTAAAATGATAACACCAAAGGAAAAATCGCTAAGTAGTATCCAACAGATGAATGGGTAAACAAAATGTGATATATACTTATGGGGAATATTATTCAGCCATAAAAATGAAGTTCTGATATATATTATCACAATTGGTGAACCTTAAAAACATGTTAAATAAGCCAGACACCAAGGAACATATATGATTCCATTTAATAAGTTCCCCTAGAATATATGGTTTCATAGAGGCAAAAAAAAAAAAAAAAAATAGAATAGAGGTTACCAGGGATTAGGAGTAAAGAAGAATTAGGAGTTACTTTTTTAATGATGTAGGTTTCTGTTTGGGATAATAAAATTTTTGAAACAGTGAAGATGTTTGCACACTGTAAGTGTGCTTAATGCTAGCAAATTATACACTTAAAATGATTAGAGTGTTAAGTTATATTTCATGCATGTTTCACCATGATAAAAGAATAGCAATGCTGGAAACTGAGGAGTAATCAAGACCTCAGGATTTCTCACAGCCATGATATGTTTACCACTGGGCACAACAAAGTAAGAGAAAAAGGAAGAAACAATTGAAATTATCTGATGAGAGAGAGAGAAGAGGGCGGGGAATTTAAGTATAGGTATTTCTCTAAATGTTTTATTAAATTAAAAAAAATAAATGTTTCTTTTTAAGATAGTAAATAATGAAGAAGAGATAGAACATATGAAAGAATATTTACATATTCATTGTAAAACATCTGTATATTCACTGTAGTTATTCAACAGCTTTTTGTTGAGTCCCTGTTATATCAGTTATCTACTGCTACAGTAATGCTAACAAACAACCATAAGATCTCAGTGGTATATAACAATAAATCATCTTTTAGTTCATTAGTAAAGCAAAGCAAAGCATATGTTTTTAGTTGAACAGATGAGGAGGAAGGAATTACTTATTGTCCTATCACTTAGAGTTAACCTTAAAAAGTTTATCATATACCTATGATGTCCATGGTACATACTTTTCTAAGTATCTCATACATTTTGACATTTAATCTGCATAATTATCTCATTGGAGAGGTTCTGTTATTACAATTTTCATTTTACAGGTGAGAAAATTCATATGCAGAGACATTAAGTTACTTAGCATACAGCTAAGAAGTGACAGCATTGACAATTTTAGACACTTAGCAATTTGTCCCCCAAATCTACTCTCTTTTTTTATGGTGCTTTTTGCATGATTGCAAGTGTATTGTAAATATGAAAAGTTTTGTATACTAGCCAAGGTGTTAATAATATTTTTTTTTAAATAAAAGGAATGTATCCTTTATTTTCATTCCACAGTCCTCATTTAATACTCCTTTTTTTTTTTTTTTTTTTTTTGCTCCTCCTGTAGTTCTTTTTCATGTTTGATTTTGTTCTTTTCTGCCATTCCTCATGTTTTCAAACAGCAATAACTCAGAAGTGCACATTTGGAAATGTGATCAAAATTGAAGTATTTTCTAACTTCAAATTTACTTGAATTAATTTAATTCCACTTGCTACAATAATTATTTGGGACTTCACAAAATTGCAAACCTGTCATTCATATGAGCACAGCTATAGGCAAGATCAATATTTGAAAATCTACGAGGTATTATTGCAGGTCATGTAGTAGATAAGGAAAAATGACATTTAATTAGCCCCTCTTTTACAGGCCTCCTTCAAACCAGAAGTTGAATTTAATTACTGGATCCCCTTTCTAGTTTTAAGCTCTGATCCTTCCCAGGTTAGTAGTCTTTACAATTAGAAATTCAGGCATAGCACAAAAGTGCCACCTACTGTTCATATTATTGTATGGCACTTGGATTAAACATACTATGCAGCTTGGTTATAAAAAATGGAACTCTCTTCTTGGTGCAATTGCTCCAAAGTATAACAAAGTACACAGAAGGGGAATTGATTTGAATCATTAAAGCAATAACATTTTTTCAAATGGCATGATTTATTTTAACCAAAAAACTTTCTCTAAATCCTATTGATTAAATCTTCATGGTACATTTTTTAATCTTTCTATGTTTCTGCTCTTGTGGCTCTTGCCACTCTTTAGGCACTCTTCTTCTGTGTCTGAGATTATTTTAGTAACCTTTACTTTGCTTTCTTGCTTCAAGACTCTCTCCCTGCCTGTCTATCCTGCTTACTGTCAACAAATATGTAAGAATCACTAGAGCAGCTTGCTAAAATTACAGATTTGGGGGCCCCACTCCAGAGGTTTTGATTTAGAAAGTCTGGTGTGAATACTAGAAACCTGTGTTTTTAAACAAGATGTCTAGATGATTATAAAATGCATCAATATTTGGGAACCACTGGACATATCATGCATTTAAAGTGCTTTTAAAATGCACTTTAAGTGTACTTTAAAATACCTCAAACCAAGTCTTAATTCCTGTCTAACCAGACATCTCCCCTGGGCCAGTACTTAAGCAATCAGAGTTAACAATGCACAGCCATACTTTGGAGGCACTGCCAGAACTGTTCCTGTAGTTGTGAATGTTGTGCTACTCTCTCCCTCCAACTACCACACAAAGAAACCTATCTCTGAACTTGGAAAGATACCCTTACTTCAAACTATCTTCCTCTGAACATATTTCACTATTATAAAAACATAACTTAATATTTCTTCCTTTGGGTCCCTATAGTGTGTTCCTTAGTATTCTACTTGGCAGTATTTTGTATTGCTGCATTACATCTATGTTATGCTTATGTGTCTACCAGCTCTCATTGAAGAAAGATTGGCAAAGACAAGAAGTGCAATATATTCATTTTGGTATCATTCTTCAGCCATAATAATCGCTGACAGACTATGATTACAGCAGAGGCACAATAAATGTTTTTTGTAATGATTGAGGACCTACAGTGTTGATAGCAAACTCCATACTCACTGAAAAGACCTATAAAAGAAATAAAAACATGATTATTGTCCTCAATAGTTTAAATTCTTTTATTTATTTTTTAGTGGTTTATGGACTTTTATCTTTATTTATATGTGGTGCTGAGAATTGAACTTGGTGCCTCACACATGCTAGGTAAGTATTCTACCACTGAGCCACAACCCCAGCCCCCAATAGTTTGAATTCTAATTGGGGAGATAGGATTCACTACATGAAACAATGAAAACAATCAATGGAAAAACTAAGCTATGTAAAGCAGGAAGTCCATAGGAATGATGTAAGTATGTATAGCAACAACATTATTGTATTTAATCCATTAAAGTACAGATTTCTGGGTTCTACTCCGAACTTCTGTTTCAGAAGGATCCAACGATTGGCACTTAAAACAAGTACAAGTTATGAAAAGTACAAGTACCTCGGTTCTAGATGCTTATGCTACTGGTGAACCATCCTGGGATACCAATCAAAAGCAGGGAGGAGAAAAAAACAAACTAGAATAGTATTTTTCAGGGGATGGGGGGAATGAAGGTTATTGCTTAATGGGTATGAAGCTTCATTGTGAAGCTTCATTGTGAAGATGAAAAAATTTTGTAGGTAGATGGTGATGGTTGTAAAAATGTGAATATATTTAATGTCTTGGAAGTATACTCATAAAATGGTTAAATGGTAAGTGCAGTGTTACGTGTATTTTACTATCATAAAATAGGGGAGGTATTGAAAGGGACGATAGCACATGAATAAAACTGATATTTA